TGGACTCCTGAAATACACCCACTCATGACAGATGCACCATCATACCCCTGTGAAACCATTGAAGAGAGATTGATATTGTAGAGTGATAGGGTATCTAAAATATACTGAGTAAGATGCTCTGCTGTCAGATTAGGAGCAATAATGAAAGTGAGAAAGCGCTCAGCTATGTTACTGCTAACAGGATCTACATATCGAATGACAAAAGACATTTGTTCCTTTTTACTAATGTCTTTAGTTTCATCAACTAGTAGTGAGTAATATCCTGCTCGCTGAATATCATTACTGATTTTCTGACGTACTATCTGACCCATGATGTGAATGATAGTGTTTTGTATGTCATGGGATGTATAAAGAGCATTTCTGGGACCTTTCTGAAGTCTGTCTTGTATCACGTGGTCATAACGAGACAGAAGTAGCAATATTTCGATGAAATTGCCCCTGTTTAAAGAATCTACCGCTTCACGATGTCCACGTAAGGCAATTTCCATCCTGCAACATGTAAGTAAAATATCTGATACTGCTGTGATGTAGTGTCTGTTTCTCTCAATCATTTCAGATCTCTTATTCCCAAGCTGCTCACTAACAGTACCAGATACTGATGTACATCTTGACTGATCCCATGCCACAACACAATTTTTATGTGATAAGCTGTTACTGTGACAAAAAAAGTACACCTTTGTTTCCAGTGGCATGCTTCCAATCTCTAAATCCAGTGATAGTAAATGTCTTTTCAGGTCTACTGCGTCCAATACCAGAAGCACCAAACCAACGGCAGGGAAAGCAAAAGGCTGCATCTCTCTTTACAAAGTACTCTAGCCAATTGTACTGGCTAAACCATGAAGGATTAAATGACCTTCCTCTATCAGTATATGACCTTTTAGGAAAGGTAACATTAGTAGGCTGTATTGGAGCAGAATGAGGTGTGAGAGATATGTCATCTAGAGCAGTGCTGGTACTAGTACTACTACAAATAGAGCTACTACAAGTGCTAGCTATTTCAGGTTCCACATTGACAGCTGCATTCATCTCCACAATATCTGTACTCTGTTGCTGCACCTGCTGGTCTATGACAATGTCCATTAGCCTGCTGGCTTCAGTTTCATCCTCAGGCTCAGTAGTGCTAGTAGTTGTTGTAGATATTCATCTTCTCTTAGGCTTAGGCATGTAGCTGAAGAGACTTAGCTGCTTGCTCATCTTGGATTTGTGGCTACTTGATTGAGGTTAATGTGGTATAAAAATGAATTCTGTTAAATTTTAATTAATATTATGAATATCATTATAAATAATTATTGATGAATATCATTAAAAGTTAGTTTTGATGCCCGGGCCATGGCCCGTCTAGGCCCGGGCCCAGATCCGCCACTGCCTGGGGGCTACGCCCCCAGGTCGTTAAAAAGACAAAAAAAACATAAACATAAGGCCACTCCAATAAGATTCCTTTTCTCATGTTACAGAGGCGGGGGTGATGCTGGTGGACGGGCGGGTTCCTTATTATTTATTATTATTAATAATAATCGAATCTAATTTTTAATAGGAAAATTGAATGCCTTTAAAAAATCAATATTTAAACACTTGGCAGTCTTCCAGCCTCAAGACTACTCATTAATGAGACTAAAACGAGACACCTATGGTGCTTGGACTTGCCGCAGTTACTTTTGCATCATCTAATAAGGTCTCAAGTCATAATAAATCAGAATAATTACGTTGCTTTATAGAATCTGTTGTTGCAATTAGCACTTTTTTGTCAATTAAATCTTGCTGTTGCAATCTTCGATAAAGCTATCTACAACATTCAATTTTAATATACACAGCCAACTGAGCCAAGAATTGGCATGTGAATCAGGACTGGTGTTAGCCTGAATCAGTCCTGATATCTGACATGAATAATGGAGTTTTGGCAATCAGTGCTGATACAATCGTGAAGTCATCCATGGTACAGGCATGATAAGCATTTATACTGGATCAGGCCACATTGACTTTCTGATTCAGCCATGATAAATTGTACTGATAGCAGACCTGAATCAGTAATATTGGGCAACAGCCCTGAATCAGTCATGAAAGTTTTTGGCTGTATAAAATCCATACAACACCCACAACTGTATGGAAGACAAATCTAAAATGATGCCTGTGCTTGTCCATAATTTCAGTTTCTAAGTGCACATATTTTTAAATTATGATCACATTGCAGGGATACTGAAATCCCTTCCAAAAATTTGTTAATGTTGATTGAGTTGTGATAACATGCAAGGAATTACTGTTTGTATTTATACTGTTGTTACTTGATCATAGCATCATGGGTTGCACTCTTTGAATACCACATGAAAGCTAAACAGCTGGTATGTGGTCCTTGAGGGTTGCATTGTGAATATGGTAATGTTCCACACCTTTGCATTCTGCTT